TAAGGTCGTATGACATCTAAAAATGAAAAACTGTTTCCCGCCATAAGTTTTAGCTAGTTTTTACTGCAAAATAACTGGGCATTGTTACACGCGAATGTCGGACTGCCTTTGCACGTGAATTACTAATATCTTTGTTGCCCAGTAAGACGAGTCGCCTAATGACCGATCTCTTAGGAAACTGGAAAGTATTGTTTCCCCAAATTTCAGAGAGAGATTCTCGGGAAAAAGAATTGACTGTTCCCTCGAAACTGGTCACAGACTGTTAAATATCTGACTTGAAACTCATGCCATGATACGGAAATAGCAATATTACAATTCAGCCGGAGTCACCAACTCTACCTATTTCATTTCAGACAATGTAGGGCCCACTCGTAAAGTCCCGTCCAAAGCCACTAAAGGTGTTAAAGTGTGGGCCATTGTGGTGTCAGTGGTGGTGGCTCTTATCATTGTCGGGCTCATAGTGCTGGCCGCCATCTGGATGAAGTGGCGATGGAATCGTGTCCCAAGGTTTGGTTATAAAAAACAAGAAGACGACATGGCGCCTTTGGAAGCAGCAGCCGAACTTTGAAGACCCAACACTCCATGCGTAAAGATTGTCAAGACGAAACGCGAAAATCCTTCTGTGGGGGACACTAAATGTTTGATAGAAGTGAAGATAACACCCCCCCTTTTTAGTTGGACATATATACATCGACCCCTCCCTACATTGGGCTCGATTAGTCAGTGGTCCACTTAAGTATCTGGTGATCTGGTTCCCAGTGCCTTATGGTACTTTTCTGAGATCTACTATTAGTTTTGTAGCACGTTGTACTTCCTCTATTTCTCACGTTTTCGTGACCTTGTAGCTCGTGGTAACATTTAGCTTTTTCGTGTCCTGCAGGATGCGTGACAGCATCAAGCCAATCAAGCATCAATATCGTACCCAGGGCCCGCGTTACCCATGTCTAGCGGAACGGAAAACGAATTCCCGTTCCGCTGGGCAAGGGTAACGCGGGCTGTGAGAACGAGATCGATCAAGCACCTAAATAGATTTCAAAAAATTTTCATTGGAAGATGGTCATGTCAAGGAGAATCGTTCTCTTAGATTACCCTCTCTTGTAAAATATCGTTAGAACTCCAATTACGCGGAACTCTTGCTATAGCCGTCATTAGTAAATGAATTGTTTAGTAGAACTGGCCATAGGGACATTGAATATGTAGTTCAGCTTAATCCTAATCCTATCTTTTTTATTTGGTGTATTTAGGATTGTTTCCAACAAATTATATTCTTACAGCAAAGGCCAATCTCATGTTATATTGATTCGCTCTGGGCAATATAATCACAAACTGGAGAAAGCTATTCTCAGTGGGGAGTTTTCTGATTAAAAAAACCTTTTAACTAGCTTCGTTTATAGGTAAGAAGAAAAGAAAAACCAAAGTAGAGTTTTAAAATAATTCATTCTTTTAGGTGTCACTAAAAAGGAAAAAAACTGAGCTAATATGAAAAAAATTACGATAATATCGAGACATTTTAATAGCTGTAAAATATCAGATCTTCTTCGGTTAAAAATAACCAAGAGCTTCTAAAATAAGCAGCTGAATTTTTCCGCGTTCATATACTAATAATATACCCGGTCCATTGACGGGTCATTACCCCCCGGGATCATGGTTAAAAGTCAAATACTAATAAAATAGGCCTTAGACGCTTGGCAGTAATTCACCATGTGTCGGTGCACCATAACTCTTTCGATTTTTGTTCTGTTATGTGGACTTGTGACCGCCTTGTCTCCCTCAGCAGACGATCCATGTGTCAGCCTCGAGAAAAGCCCTTTTGAAATGTGCATGAAAGCGGGTTATGACAAAACTGTACCCTTTCCCGAAGATTTCACGGAAACACTGCAACAAGAAACAGCTCTGGAAATGAAAGAGTTCTTTAAACAGGTGAGGAATTGTTCAACGAACGGTCTCGCAGAAACCATAGAGTGTTCCTTTGTCGCTCCTAAGTGCAACTCTCTCGGAGAACCTGTGTATCCATGTAAACAAGTCTGCGCGGAATTCCTGAAGCAGTGTGAACTTGAGCTGTCTGATTTCACTCTGGATTTTTTCATCTCTTCGTGTCTCGTGCTTTCAAATGGTTCCTCAAGCTGCGATCGATGCTATACGCCCCCAAACTTCATTACCAATGCAAGTCAACCGGGTAAGTTACCAAAATGGTGTATTTATTGGAACCGTTTCAAGTCTTCTAATGAACAAATAAATCGATTACGAGGAACTTCCGTGCCAGTATTCACTTTCACTCTTCAATTTTATTCAGGACCCCGGGGGAGGGGGGAGGGGGGAGGGGAGAGGGGGGGAATAGGCCCAGCCTGTCTGGGCCAGTATTACGGCGCATAATATCTTTTAAATTACCCCTCAACGTCTCAAAACATCAACATCATCACAAAAGAGCAACAGAGTTGTATTATCAAATTTCTGGACGTAAGAAATGTCTTAATGTTCCAGTTATATTTTTTTCCCAGTTGGAACCAGGAATGTTGTTGGTAGTAAGGCTAGATTCGGTGCACTCGTTTCCCAATAGTTGCCAATTAATAAAGAAAGTTGAAATGAGAATGACGAGTATAAAATCCAATAATATTGTCCTACAAATATATTTATGTGATCTGATTGGTCCGCCATCTCATTATGAAAATTTACATGTTTTGGTGATGTTGAAACAGGTAAGGACCGGGGCAAGGAAACACCGCCATCTAAAAATTTAATCTGGTAATTGGTGAAGGTAATCGCATGAATGCAAGTGCAACTGAAGGATTTACACTGTGAGTGATATTTGAAAAATCTCTCAAAATTGCACGCACGCTTTGGGCAAGTGCAATTTGAAAGAATTTTTAAATATCACGAGCAGTGTGAATCCTTTATTGCTCGAGCTTTCGTACGGTCTCCCATTTATCGTATGACCGAGAAAATTGCGAACATGCACGCGTATAATTTGCACCACAGCGCAGTTAAGAATTAACGATAAATTGGCCTGCTCTCGGCCAATCACAATGAGGTAACTGTCTACGTCATATAATAAATGTACAAATTGCCGTACATATAGCTACTTTCTTGACCATTGTAGAAAAAAGAAAAGTCTCTATTTCCAAGAATGATGATAATAAAAATAAAACTTACGGCGTTGTATCATTTTATGGTCTATGATTTCAAAAGGACTCTCGCATTTTCGTTAAGGTGATGAGATGAACATAAAACATATTTGTTGAACGATGGTAGAGTCTAGGAATGGTGCCTCACAGGTTAACACAATGTATTTAGTTTCTTCCCCGATCCCTTTTCTCTTTCACAGGCCCGTTGGATCGAGGCTGCCAAGAGCTCATTATCCCAGCGTGCAAAAACTTGGGCGCCTATAATAATACCCTTATCTCGGTCCCAGTTCAGGAGGAGCTGTACTTGTGGTTTTACGAAAAAGATTATGCCGAGGAGAGTGCAGAAACAGACTTTCCCGAGATCGCACGAAAGATGTTTGAGCAATACCCAAAGTGCCAGGAAAACATAAAGAAGTTGTTCTGTGGAGAGTATTTGCCGCCATGTTTTCCAGATGAAGATCCTCGGTTGTATAGTCTGTGTCAACCTCTTTGTGATCAGATTGCCACAGACTGCCCAGGTTTTTTCAGGTATAGCTTTTCATAATATGGTGGTTGTTCAATTAAATGCTATAAAGATTTAGTCGAGGGTGAGCCGGCCACGCTTAGCGCTTGTTGAAATGTTCGATTTTTCGATACAGCGCTTTCGAAGGCTGCAGTTTTTCTTTGAAATCGAAGAAAAAAAGTCGTGTTTAATGAAAAATAAATCACTCTCCTTTCTAAGAACGACAACAGCAGTCAAGTAGCTGCTCAAAGTGTTAGACAAGCAGCGCTGCCGAACCCAGTTGCTTCAAGTAAGCCAGATACCTCACCTATAGAGCGTTATCACTCACGTGGCCAGCAGCCATGCAAATTTATTCCAACAAAGGAAAATGTTTACTCAAGAAAAGAGTTCAACTCCCATAGCCGCCAACATGCCCGCCGTTTCACTGTTTTGGGAAAGAATATGGCTGACCTCATGTGAAAAGTGTGCGACGCTTTCTCGAGAGCGGCGCTTATTACTGGTTTCGCTGTCACGGTCATTTTTCGGTTCTTATTTAGTGAGGGCGTTTTCTTGCTTTGCGAATGGGGCTTGCAAGGGGGAATGTTAGGTTAGTTTTTACATTACATTGATATTGCTAACCTGTTTTAATTGTTTTCAGTCATGACTTGATGGGTGCCGAGTATTGCAGCACAATGGCAAGAGGACAAACGAAGCACGGTTACTGTCAAAGTACCGACTGGCCAGCGGCATTCAGCTGGGTTCGCTATATGGGTTAGTCCAAACAGTCATTCGATTAGTAAGTCAGTCGGTCGGTCGGTCGGATAGTCGGTTGGACGTTCGATCGGGCGGTAGGCCAAACAGTCGGACGGTCGATCCATCGAGCGATCGGTGGGTGGGTGGATGGGTGAGTCAGTCAGTCAGTCAGTAAGTCAGTCAGTGAGCCCGTGAGTGAATGAGTGAGTGAGTGAGTGAGTGAGTGAGTGACTGAGTCAGTCAGTGAGTCAGTGAGTCAGTGAGTCAGTGAGTCAGTCAGTCAGTCAGGCAGGCAATCTCTCTGTTATAGTTGGTCGGATATTCATCGGCTGGTCAGACAGTGCTATAGTCATTGTTTCTTTACTTCTTGATGCATAATGCTGATTTTTTTTTTTTTTTGCAGAAGCGACGATGTCCCCAAGCGCGGTCCCTGAAAGCAATGGACTCAAAGCTTGGTCCATAATTTTAGCCGTCTTGTTACCTCTACTAATTGTGGGTATCGTTGTGGGACTGGTTGTGGCACGTGTGGTCTGGTGGAAAAAGAGTGGTGGAGCTGGGGCAGCTTACTCTAATTATTATAAGAAGCAATCTCATGACATTCTCCCGCTGGAAACTGACGATAGCGTGGATTCCTCGACGGTGTAAGCAGCTACTACATGCCGTCACTCCGTAACAACGATTAAAATTAAACTATAATATTTAGAGAGGAAACCACATCAGTCTTAGTTCACGCGGGTCCTCTATCCTGGTTGAATTAGAATTTGGAGATGTTGGTTTTTGTTGAGGGAGGAAAACCGGAGAACACGGAGAAAAACCCTCAGAGCAAGGCGAGAACCAACAACAAACTGAACCCACATGTGGCACCAGGTTGGAATCGAACCCAGGCCACATTGGTGGGAGACGAACGCTCTCACCACTGCGCCATCCTTGCTCTCCAAATAAGCACAAAACTCTTGAATACGTCAATTAAGAATACCAATGTAAAATAAGTTGAGAATGAAAATGAAAATAGGAATGAACATGATGAAAAGCGCTTTGGGTGGGGCTTACGTACGCACTGAGCATTTTGAGAAGTACCCTTCACATGTTTACCGGTATATCTGGCGATTTTGCAGAGTTCTCAGAACACGAGGCGAGTGCGAGGACAGCGCGGGACACGCGCGATACGCGCGACTCAGTGCGTGCCATGATACAAAACATATCGAGAGAAATAATGTTCGATGGTCTGCAGTCACCAGACTGTTTGTATTTGCTTACAGTGTCACAGATGATGGCCAGAAAAATAAATTTAAAACTGTTTTCCAAAAGGTCAAATATCGTCATTACTCAGAGCCCAGATCGTGAAAATTCTATAAGATGAAAGTCTATAAGATATAAAACATGGGACTGGAATTTTTTATGGAAATACAAGGAATCTATTTTAGGCATACTCATAGTGAAACGAAACGTAAATATCCAAGAAAACAGATATCTTACTCAGGGGCGGATCCAGGAAGTTCCGTTTTCCTCATTCTGGGAGTAACTGGCACTTTTGGGACGAAAAAAGAAAACAAGACATCGAACGGGGAGAAAAAGGGGGGGGGGGCTGGTGGTGGGATGATTGCGGCCCCCCCGTTGGCGAAACTGTGACTCACTGCTTGATGTTTGAGTGTTCACCAAGCTAAACCTGGCGACTTTTGGCATATCGCTTGAATTATTACACTTGACAACTAAGTCCGAATTTAGTGCATGAGTTCGATTCTTTGGCCAAAACGCGGAGTTTCATAAAAGGTCAGGCATTACAAATAAACACCGAATCACCTAAACAGCACACTTACCACAGCTAGTGATTGGGGAACAATGCGGAAACTCGGCCACACCACACGCGGGTAAAGTTCCGTGCATGTCGTGTGTTCTGACTTTTGAGGCGGTGTAGCGGTGATTTAATACAGGCACGAATTTTTATAACCCTTTCATACACTACAAAAATGTATTATTCGGGACACGTGTATACATGATAGTTATTTTTCTCTGTGTAACCTGCTTTTTTGGCTCACTGAACGTGCGCGAAATTCATTTGTGCATTGATGTGTGCATGAATTTGTTTTTGGTAAAAGCATGCTCAAAATCACCCATTCCTCCCTCAAAAGTCAAATGGCCCACTTCTAAAAGGCATCGGGCGTGAATAAAGACAATTATTTTACAACAATGAAGCAAGGCTGATTAACGACGCAGAAAACTTAACGCGACAACGAAATGATAGATTGTTTTGTAGACTAAGAATTCATAGCAAAATGGGGAAGAAACAGCAGGTTCCGCTAATCACACAGAGAGTAAATAATACGCGTTGCAAATATAAGTGTTACGTAAGTTTTATATTATTTTTATTCAGCCTATTCTGGCTACTTCGTAAAAATGTTCACAGCTTGAAGTCATGTCACCCGTGGGTAACATTCTTTGTTATTTAATTTCATATTTTTTGCTATCTCAAGCGGGCACAAGGCTAAGAGTAATTATATTATGCGTTGCGTCTTCAAGCTACATAATTGCTTAGGAGGAGTCAATGGATCTCTGAATGGGTCGAAGATTTGAACTACGCATGTGGCAGAACAGAGCGGGCCATATTGGATTATCAAGTGGAATAGGAGAAATACGTGTAATTAGAATATCAGCTTACCGTACCGCGATAACTAACAGTGAGAGGGGAAGAAAAAATTCATCACGCATGCAAGATGAATCTTCATTTAGCAGTTTTGTCATATTGTATACTATCATGTAGTGTTGTAATAATCACTTGTGAGTCGAATGACGGGAAATGCGTCAGCCTCGTCGATGGACCCTTCGACATCTGTACAAAAGCGGGCTACAACAACACACTGCCTTTTCCCAAGGAATTGACGGCTGAATTGCAGACTGAACTAGCGGAATTCTTAACTGTTATTATATCTCCCTGGAAAAACTGTTCTCCTGTGGAGCTCGCCGCAGCGTTGGAGTGTTCGTTCTTATTTCCCAAGTGTAACTCACAAGGAAGGCCCGTGTTACCTTGCAGACGAGTCTGCGGTGAGCTGTTGAAGCAGTGCTACAACCAAACAGTCCAAACAGGCCCAGAGTATCTTGAAATCTTCGTGAATGTTATCCTCTCTGAGTGCCTCACCCTTCCAGATGAAAAACCAAGCACGAAGAAGTGTTTTGAACCACCTAATTTTACCACAAATGACAGCGTGAAAAGTGAGTATTCCTTCGTTTACTCTGTATTCAACCCTTAACTTTTTCTTGGATTTGTATTTACGGAGGGGATGGTGGTGGTGGATAGGTCAGTTAAGACGAGAAAGGGGGTGGGGGGTGGGGGGTATACGAGAACCCGAATGATAAGGGTGCCCACAGCTGCTGTTGTACTCTACCCATGAATGCGCATGTACCATTATGCAGATCTTTAGGGTCTCCCGGCGGGGAAGGGGGGAAGGGGGCAGCCGATAAAGGAACTAGGAATATTTTTGATATTTTTTTGTGAAAGGTTATCTTTGCTATAAACGGAAACTTTTCGCAAACATTATTGTTAGAAACGGCCTTGAATTTATTAACAGATCAAGGCAACCCTAACAAATTCATTCAATATTCGGAGACGAGAAAAAGAATCCCGTCGGAAATTTTGAAAAGAATCCCCAAGAGGTACTAAGATACTGTTTCGTAGAAGTGGCTTGTTTTCACCCCTAAGAGGTACCAATTCGAAGACAACACAGTATCTCCTGTCAAATTTTTTCCGGCTCAATCAATCAGTGCTCTAAAAAGAATCGCAAAAGCTCCTGCTGTGGACCTTTTGAGGCTGAACACCCTACGAGGAAACAAAACTGCCTTTTTAACCCCTTAAAGGTACGAAGTGCCTCCCTGTCCTTTTTAATTTGTATGGGAGTACCACCCCCCCTTCCCACCAGGGAAAAGAAGTGTCCTCGTCTTAGAAGAATAGGAAACACATCTCAAACATACTGATATCGTTTCTTTGTTTGTTTTAAATTCTAGAGATAGAGCTATGAATGTATGAAAAATTTTTCATAACGCCCTGCTCAAATTAAAGCGGAGACACAAGATTCTCGTTCCTTGAGCCCTCGCTTTCTGGTCGCGTGTTCACCGACATTTCAAAACGAGTAGCTTTGGGAATGAGAACGAGACAAAAGTAATTACGTATTGAAGACTTCGGTTGCCTTTCTCTTGTTTTAGGTCCGCTGGATCGTGGCTGTCAAAAATTGATCTTTCCTGCCTGTAAAAACTTGGGTATTTATGAGCACACTCTATTTTCGGAACCAGCTCAAAAGAAGATATACAAGTATTTTTACAACAAAACATACGACGATGAAGATTTAGAAACCGCCTTTCCCAAGAACGTGGAAAAAGATCTTTCCAAGTTTTCCAAGTGCCAAACAAATATCAAGAAGTTGTACTGTGGAGAGCTGTTCCCACCGTGTTTCCCGGATGAAGGGAGTCCCGGATTAAAGACCTTGTGTAGTTCTGTCTGTAATGACATTGTTAGAGACTGCCCGGCTTATTTCAGGTAATTATTTTGCTAGAGTCTATTTCTGTATATTCAGAATCAGATGCCACTTTATATTACACACTTATGGTCAATATCTAGAATGTTCCGGGCAAAGAATTAATTTGAATCACCGGGAAGTACAGCGAAATTCTAACAGACCGGTGGAATTGAGCCCACCACTGTCGGATTAGCCCGTGTGCATCCGTCCCCCTCCTTAAAAATCTACCCCATTTTTTTAATTGCAGGGGGCGGATGTGCACAGGCTATCTTCGGATTATCCTGCGAACATAGACGGATTTCTGGCTTTTGTTTTCTCAGTCTATTGTTCGTCTGTGTTCACAGGCTACCGTTGAATCGGTTACAACTGGCAGTTGGTAAATGGTAAATTTGCTGCAAGGGAAATATACCAGTATGGTTATCAGCGCGGCGATTTTCATAAAATGGCTAAATCGTAAAATCGCACTTTTAATAAGCTCCTTTCTCGATAAATTTCGATTATGTTTGTGAATAAACCTGCGGTTGGAGCCGATGCCGATTTACCGCTGTTGCTGCATGTCCAGTTCGCGATATATCACGGTGTAACAGCTCGTCCTCTTTGTACACAGTGTGTGCCGACCTTTACTTTACGACTTACTTTGTTCGATTTATCCGAGTGCCATCCATGTGATTTTTTTAAGGAATCATATCATGGGAGTAGAGTATTGCAGTACCCTAGCGGAGGGAAACACTAGTCACGGCTACTGTGATCGTAAAGAATGGCCAGAACCATTTTTGTGGCTCAAGTACATAGGTAAGTCTATGTTATGAAAATCTTGCACCGCGCAGCATTGATATAAGAAGCTGAAATGTAGAGAATTGACTTAAAGTAGCTAGAAATAAACCCAAGTATTTCTTTCTGGGAGTTTGCCTTAGAAAGCAAACCAGGGGACCATGCGAAGGAAAGAAAAATGCTTTGAGCTCGGTGAGATTCCGCCCACGACCTCCGGATTAGGTCAGAACCATTGCTCTACCGTCTGAGTTATGAGACCTTATGAGGCCAGATGGGAGCAGGCCGAGGGGAATGGAGGGAGGAAGCGGAAGGGGGGGGGGGGGGGGGTTATTAAAGTAGCAATTCGTGGTAAGTTAGATGTTAGGGGTACAAGTGCGAATGTAATGTTGCGCCACATTGCTATGATTTTAGAAGTTTGGAAGTAAGGAATTAATTTTTAATTTTACAACTGCTTAATTTATGTGTATAACTGCGATGATCAATCATGGCTTCATATCATTCTCCGCAGTTCAAATATACGATGTTTCATATATTCACTTGTGTTATTTAGACTGATTTAGAGTTAACTCTATATTGGTCAGTGGTTAGGGTAGCATGGCCCATGACTCACGCAACCCCCTCCCTAAAGCATTTGCGATGAAGTCGTCTAACCCAACTGATAATACACAAGGAATGATCGGACGCCGTCGTCCTGTTGGATTCCTGTGGAGTCCGCCATGCATGCCACTGGAGGTAGATAGCTGCGTTATAATATTTGCATCTCCTCACAGAATCGACAGTAGCACCAACAGAAGAGCCTAAAACTGAAGGTCCCAAAGCGTGGGTCATCGCCGTAGCTGTGGTGGTATCCCTGGGTGTTGTGGGACTCGGACTGGCAGGGATTATCTGGTGGAAGTGGCGCAGCCGTGGACTTGGAATGGGGTACACTAAACAACAGGATGATGTCACTACAGTGGATCAGTGACGAGATGTCGAGACATGTTTGGTGTACTTCAGCAAATCTTTTTGGCAAAACTATTTACACCGTCAGAGCAAGCTGTTTTTAGCTCGTTTTGTCATACAGCTTAACCCTTAAGGTGGCCGAACACAGTTTTCAAGAGCCTATGCTTAATTCACCATTACTTTTAAGCTATTTATGCTTTGGCGCTCGTTTTTTGCAAGAGTCAAGGTTAACCACAGAAAAGTGTATTCTCGCATTTTGGCTAAGGTGTGTGCTGTTGCCATGGCAACGGGGCTGGTTGAAAACAAGGCTTAAAAAATGGTTTTTGTTTATTTAAAAAAAATCTAGTCGTTAGATTTTTCTCATCTTTTGCCCACTACGAATTGACATTAAATCCCTTCTGGCAACACTGTTCTAATAAAATTTTGACATAGGCGATTTTCGTAATTCGCCGTAAATCGTTTTCACCGCATGTTCTGTATTATTAAAAATTCCCTATGTC